TTAAAACCAGCGAAGACAAAGCTTCACAAACAGATAGCAGCTATGTTCAATATATTAAAGTCAGTGAGGACGACATCCGTGCCGTTATGATAAATGTTGACGATGCACACTTTTTCAATTCACATCCTCGTGATCCGCGGAACAAAAGCTTTGCTGCTTTAATAGCGTTTGAAATGGAGAAGGTACCACCAGAGGATCGCTCCTTAGTTTACGTAAAAATAATTGACTTCATTCGTAAAGTTAGAGGAGAACGCAGTATAAATTCAAGTTGTCCGTCGCCAGAATACTGAAAAAAGTGCTGAAATATTAAATTTTCGTCAAAATTATGTGAAAGTGACATTCAGTTGATTTCAAATATTAAATAATAATACTGAATTACTAAGTGTTTTTATTTGATTATTACAATATGATTATTTAAATGAGCACATTTCTTAGGTAAAAATATACGATATTACCCCATCACTAGCTGACATCTAAAGTGGTCATTGGCGCCGTAACAAGTGACAAAATCGTAAGAATTCAATACTAACTTTAAACTCATTTTTCACATTTACTGACTAAATTTATTACACAAATTTTAATTTATAATGTATTTTAACATTATTAAGAATGTTTAAAACGCAATTAACAGTCTCTAGGGCGTATTGTTGAAAAAGCAGCAAAATTTAGACAACTTTAGTTGCCAATGGCGTCTTAGTTACGGGACCGTTTTGCAACTATAGTTGTCAATGGCGTTCAAAAGGTTAAAAGCTGGATATATCCTATTAATGTAAGTACTTTAAGAAAGAAGAAAAAGGTCACTTTTGTTGAAAAATAATGTGAACATTTCACTATTAAATGAATTTGTTTTTTTAGATCAACCTCATGGATAGTATTTGCCATGCTTGTTGGCAACTTGCAAATGAAGCAGCACGGCAAGGTTCTGAGTCACCAGAGACTGCATCCCAACCGTTGGAGACAGATGACCCTCCTGACTCACATGAACTACAGGAAGATAATATTGAGGAGGCATGCCATCATAGGATATTGTTGCAACTGTATTGTGGGTTTGAGGACAGTAGGGTGTTGCTCACATGTGATGAGTATCGTATGGTATTTAGCCTATGCTCGTCACTTAGACAATATATCACCACCTGCACAAGTGTTAGATGGAATTCTTGTAAGAATAAACATTGAATAAAGCAGTATATTGATTTTAACTTTTGTTTTTATTTATTAAACTTCTTGATAGCATTATTATGTTGACTTGAATAAAAGTTCCCCATTAAAGCCTTGTCTATTTTATGAATGTGTATAAATAGTAATCTTTAGAAAAATAAAGACAAAAGAATNTAGATGACCCTCCTGACTCACATGAACTACAGGAAGATAATCATGAGGAGGCGTGCCATCATAGGATATTGTTGCAACTGTATTGTGGGTTTGAGGACAGTAGGGTGTTGCTCACATGTGATGAGTATCGTATGGTATTTAGCCTATGCCCGTCACTTAGACAATATATCACCACCTGCACAAGTGTTAGATGGAATTCTTGTAAGAATAAACATTGAATAAAGCAGTATATTGATTTTAACTTTTGTTTTTATTTATTAAACTTCTTGATAGCATTATTATGTTGACTTGAATAAAAGTTCCCCATTAAAGCCTTGTCTATTTTATGAATGTGTATAAATAGTAATCTTTAGAAAAATAAAGATAAAAGAATATCTCTTGTTTAGGCGAGCACTCGCGATGCGTATTATCTAATGAGCATCAATCCAACAGAAAGTAACTGCCTTTAAAATCATCCTGAATAAAAGATAAAACGATAATATTATTTTGATCACTTCGTTGTTTTCTGTTGTTTTATACATTATTATTTTTTTCTGTCAGTATCAGTCAGATTAAACATGTCAAAAAATGACAATTGACATTTAAAACGTTTTGTTCTCCATGTTCAAGCGTTCTGTTAACCTTCAAAGCGTTTTGTTAACCTTGTTCCGTATTATCATAACATTGAATTTATCTTTTTATTCTGAAGTTGTAGAAATATGGTATGATTACATTTTTTGTTGTATAAATCAAGACAAAGAAATTGGTAATATTTTCTTTGTTGTACACTCCGTCTAAAGACGGTACCAACACTACATAGGTTTCTGCCAATGTTCTTTTCACGAACTTGCTCCTATTACCGCTACAAAAGTTGTTTAGCATATTATCACGTACTTATAGTAAAATGTCCTTTGCACGAATAAAAACTAGGTCAAGATTTTGTAGGAGTTAATACTGTAAGTCTATGCCATTCGTATGCAACAATCTTACAAGCAAATCTAGTCGCCTAACCCAAACACCGCATTGTATACGCTCCTATTGATATTTCCTACTGCTAAGGTAGGAAAGACATTTGTAATGTTTCAGTTTTTATCATTTATCTCGTTTACAAGATAGTCTGATTATTTAACTCATTCCCGTAAATTGAATAAGTGCTGAAAATGAAAATATTTTACGTAATACCGACGGAGTCAAGGCGACCAAGCAGTCTCTAATTAATAATTACCTGTGTAGGCGACTGGAGCGAATAAAATCGATATCCAACTTCGCTAAAGATAGACTGCTGATGTTTCTAGAATCTCAGACGGGTCCATTCAAGTGCAGTACCCTTCAGCAACACTGAGCAATATCGGATTTTTCTTTATTTTATGAAAGCATCGTGAGTTTATACGAGCGGGATTTTATACGTGAGAATTTATTCTTGCGTAGTTCTCTCTTAAACGATATTGTAAATTATATTCAAACAGCCAGGAAACCGTATTTCGTATTATAATTTGACTTAGTTTTTCCTCTATATTGAATTTACAAGACCTAGTTATTGGATGTGGTATTGTTATTCAAATGATTGATGCAAAAACGATAGCATAACTTACACGGCAACTGAACGACATTGTTATATTGATTGAAATGCTTTTATACGACCTTAGTGTTGGAATAGGTAAAGAATGTAGTTAAATAAGTTTATCACTTAGGGATTTCATATACATGATATGAAATACTTCACAATGATATAAGTTCAATATGATAATATTGAGACTTATATCCATTTCCATAAATCACATAATCTTTCCCAAATTGCGATGACTTACAAGCGCCTTCGGAGTACGAATCGGTTCATAATAATAATCTTGCGAGCAAAAAAGAAGCCCACACAAGATCTTATAATTGAAAATGTTTCAATATCATTTGAATAATCTATTTATAAGATCTCGCAAAAAGACTTGGAATATTTTTGTGAAAAGAATCAACTGGGCCAATTTCTTTATCAGTGAGCGTAATAAGAATTTGCTACAAAAGATTTACCTTACTTCAATTACATCTATTTTTGGGATGTCTAGACGATATTTTGTGTTTTATCAAACACCTACCCTTATGGGTGTGTTACAAGCGTTCCAAATGATATTAAAATACTCGAAACTTAAGCTATTTAAATATGCGTGCGTGCGCGCTAATACATATTCAAATGTGTCGTGTAATTTAACATGTGGTGGAAGAATTTATTTTGGCAATCTTTCAGGTTCTAAGCAAACATTTTGAAATCACCTACTTATTAAAGCATGAGGTTGGCATTTTAGCTTAACTGCAGTAAAATCCAACATTGATTACCTTGTTTTGGAATTCATTCGGGGTAGTGTTTTTTTTTATTATGTACTTACCACAGTACAGACTACCTAAACACTGTGTATCTTCTAGTTATAAGATGCTATTTCTCAACGAAAAGTTTATACTGATAATGTGGACGACTTTAAAGGCAATGCTTAGGGCTCATGCACAACTTCTTGAGGCGCGTCGATGTACTGTGTATAGTATACGATATTATCGCAAATGTCTAATACTAGTATCTAATATAAAAATAAATAGTATTTAACAGTGCAGCATAATCGCGGTCATAACAATCGGCGTTAAGCCACTTTTTAGAAGAATGCAGCAACCACACCGCACACTTAAAAACGCGGCGATTGAGTCGCTTTTCGGAAGCTCGACGCAACGAACGCGCGATTTCGACACCCAAATCGCGATGTTGTATTCACATAGTCGCGAACCCCAATCGCTGATGCTAGACAAACAAATGAAGGAGGAATTTATCAAGTTAAATCAACTCACCAACAACTCTTTGCCGCTGTCGAAGTCTGAGCGGAGTTGGGTGCCGAGGTCGCCGTCGGGGATCTTGAGGTCCTCGCGCAGGTCGCCGTTGTCAGCCATCAGGGTCAGGTAGCCGTCGTCGGATATGTCGGTCAACTGGTAGTCCTCGCGCTTCACGTGGGGCACGTCCATGTTGTGGGTGGATGGGCAGATATCTTCGTACCTGGGTTGAAAAAATTAAATGAAAATGAAATGCGTGTCACCGAAACGGTATCCAATCAGCATTATGTCGGGGTGTCGTAAGAGGCACTGTTGTGACACTTGTGACGCAGCAATACTACAGTAATTACGGCTGCAGTAAAAGTAACAATAGTTATTATCGCCCGTATTCACAAACATTACTATGAGGTCTCACAGCGCGTGGACGCACAGAGCTCTATTCAACGCTGTGCGTTCGATTTGCTGCTTCACTTAAGCAAGCATCGTTTGTGAATACGCGTGTATAATTTCCTTTTGCTTATGCATTTGACTGTGTTGGACAAGGTGGAAGGGACCCACAGTCCGTCACTTAGACGTTGCTGTGATTAGCCGGGCTAGGATGTACACCGCGATAAAATCTTATCGATTATTTTAGGTGACAAATGTATGGGCTTATCGCGTAAAATCGATAAAATTCCGCGATATAGCTTATCGTGGCGCGCATCCTAGGCCTACAGGTAACCATTATCACTGGGCTCTCTTACAAACGCCCAAAGGAAAGCCAAATATCGGGAGAAATGGAGACAGATAGTCCTATCTTTAAAATTTTTAATTGAATGATCAAACGAACTTACCAAGTGAAGTTCGATCTAAATTATCCTGTTTTCGCCGAAGAGATTTAAGTTCCCTCCCAACCCGAAGGTTTCTATATCTTCTTACCTGGAGGTAAACGTCAATGTCATCTCTTCTCTAAATATAATGAGACCGCTCGGACACCGAGCCCACAGCGTGGTAGGGGTGGGGTTGCCCGCTCTTTTGTTTTTTAATACTACTACGCTGAATATTGTGTGCGGATTGGGTTGTCGTACAGGGGTACTACAAAAAAATGGCTACTGGTTAACATCGCGCGTTAACTTGGAGCTAAAAATGGGTCAAAGTTACGCGTCGTGTCACAACGCTTATAATAAAAATGTACGAGCACTTGCACAAAATAGTTGTTACAACCAACCTTGTGTTGGGTCTAATTCTCGTCACTACACTGCACAACTTAAAATAATTACGTTTTTTGTCGGTAAAAACGTCCTGGTGACGTCACTTAAGCATTTTTCTTATACTGCGTGCGGTCGTTGCGCGTGCGCACAAAGGAATGAGACCGCTCGGACACCGAGCCCACAGCGTGGTAGGGGTGGGGTTGCCCGCTCTTTTGTTTTTTACTACTACTGCGCTGAATATTGTGTGCGGATTGGCTTGTCGTACAGGGGTACTACATGGTTAAATAAATCTCGGAGGCGAAAGCAGGATAATTAAAGACATGGTTGTGACAAAATTAAGTAGCAATTACTTCGTTAAAGATTATGTACACCATCCATTGTACTCCAGTTTTTAATTAAGTCAGTAAATTGACATTTGAACCTGTGATAACAATGATATAATTAGGGTTCACTGAAATTACATTGTAACTTGTTAGGCCAGTGGTGCTTAAGTAATTATACAGCCTTGATGTTTTATTGATGAAAAAATGGTACTACATACATCGAAATATGACAGATTAGACAAAGAACTTGTTTCCTATATAAAATACATGGGAGGCAAATTGCCACTTTGCCAAATGGTTCAGCCATGCAGTTTACTGTTTAAAAACTGAAGTAGTGAGTTTATTTCCCGAGACAGAAATTCGCAATTTAGTGCCAAAAAGGGAAAGACTACAAGAATATTGCATTACATTTGACAGAAAGAAATTGAAGTCACGTGAAAGATAAATTGGAATACTCTTAATTTACTAGTTATTTTTATAGCTTGTGCCCCTGGACGGTGATCCCATAGTAGTTGTAAAATGAGACGCATAGTCGGGCCTGGTCTACAATGTTCGAGTACCCTCAGCACGAAGACAGTACAAAACTGCATTCGCGACTCTATGGGCTCGCAATACAAACTAAAATTTTATTGATTCTGATGGTTATGCAGTTTGAGATAGTACCTATTTAAGAAAGTATGATTCACGCCATTCACTAACATTACTATGAGGTCTCACGCGCGTGGACGCACAGGGTGACACACGAACCAATCACAGAGCTTTATTAAACGCTGTGCATTCGATTTGCTGCTTCACTTAAGCAAGCATCGTTTGTGAATACGGGCGTCAGTGTTTAAAATATGTACAAAATGCTTGTCTTTATCAGCTTAAGGTGTAATTGCTTCAAAGAAAATATAAGGCGTCAAGTTCTATGAACATGAGTCATGCCTCAGTACACTCGATTACACTCTACATGTTCTGTTATTCATGAGCTGTTGTTTTACATTGTAATGATACAAAGTGATAATTTTATCTATATTGTAAGATAAATTCGGAAAACCAAACTAATAAGAGATTATCTTACTAAATAAGGAATTTGGCAAGCATTGTCTTGACAAATTCATTGGGTCAATATCAAAAACAACTTTTATGCTTTTCTGGACAACATTGGTGTAAAACAAAATTCTTGATGTTTTACATCTTGCAGTAATAGACTGTAGTCATGAATGTTAGTAAATATAGTACAATGTAGGTAATGACACTTTGTTCTGAAAACAATATCGCACATCCTTAAGCATTTTCCAAATATGGACAGTCAAGTACTTCTAATTCCCCAAGTTTTATGGTGAGTTCGTTCATTAATTTCAGCCAAATGATGTCCACTGCTGGACAAAGGCATCCTCCAAGGTTTTCCACAATGAACGGTCCTGCGCTGCCCTCAGTTATGGTGGTGGTAGGTAGGTTTATGGTGAGTAAATCAATGTATCATACTTTCTTCTACTCAAACAGTGCACAACCATAATAATAAAAATCTTAACCCTTTACCTACGGGCCCTTGGAAACCAGTTGCCTCTCAATACGGGGTATTTTAACCTGTCAAATTGTTTGCTCCACTTTACATCAAGATATTTTGAAAAGTATGAGACTTACGGTAGTGAAACTTGGAATATTATATTCTGCAACTAATGTAGTTTCATAATTTACAAGCGCATTTTACACTTAATTTGCAATTTTATTGATTTTTTGTCGTAAACTGTGATTTAGTATTAGCTTTGCCAAAACAACAATAGATGCCACCTGTATTGAGAAGTGACTTTTGACTTGGTAACAATAGGTGCCTCCCGTAGGTAAGAGGTTAAAAAAACATGCAGCAACTCACTTCTTCCCATTGAAAATGTCAATGCCCACCAAGTGGACCTTGGCGTGACCGTGTTTCCCGGTCTTACTGGTCGACATCTCCACGATTTTGCAGGGGCGCCCCTTCAGCATGACGAAACCGTTCTTGCGCAGAGCCGAACACTGCATCGGGAACGTCGCAGACGCCCCGGAGTCTCCGGTCTCGAAGTGAGTGTCCTCGATGTCGCCCATTTTGATGTTAAGTCAACTACGGTCCGGAGTGATCTGCGATTGAAAACAATATTTGATCAAATCTATACTAACTAATATTATAAAGCTGAAGAGTTTGTTTGTTTAGTTGAACGCGCTAATCTCCAGAACTACTGATTTGAAAAATTCTTTCAGTGTTAGATAGCCCATTTATCGAGGAAGGCTATAGGCTATACAACATCACGCTACGATCAATAGGAGCAGAGCAACAATGAAAAATGTTACGAAAACGGGTTTTCACGCGTACGAAGTCGCGGGCACAGCTAGTATAATGATATGACGAGGTGGAGAGTGAGTGCCCGAGCAACTGCACGCAGGAGGATTTAATGAATGCTGCTGACAATGTCACTCTTGTAGCGGAGTTCTGGGCTGAAAATTTGTAGGTTTGTTGTCGACACGATAAAAAGAAGAAGATGATATGACGTACTAAAATACAAAGATATCATCAAGTTGCAAATGAAAATAATTTCATCGCTGATAAACTTTGACCTGTGGAATCAAATCAGTAGCTAATGTGTGTGAATATGCTTAACAATGCCTAAAGTGTCAAGGTAACCCTAATCAAAACTATACTTAGCTAGAATACTTATGAAAAACACCAAAATCACCGATTGTAACAAACCTCTGTAATAAAAACACTGAAAAAACTAATTCCACTAACCTAATCTTCAAAAACTTAAAACCATACTCCTTGACATTCAAACCATTGAAAAGAATAATGACATCTCTAACCAAAGAAACCTTGGCCATAACAGTAACCGAAGCTAAGTCATGATTCACACTCAAGTGAGAAAAAAATTGGCAATCAGGCTGTTGACCCCAGGTCAATGAACCCCAAAAGTAGGCTTATGAAAGTGATTCTAAATAAAATTGCTAGAAGTAGCGAATTGTTGAAATACAGCAAGTTTATCGATTGCTTTGTAAAAATTTAAACATTTGTTTAGTCTATTGAATATTAAATGAGATCAGTACAAATACCACACACCTAAGATACGATCATACACATAAATATTTATTCAAGCAGTAATCGTGCACAATTCAGATCGTTACTGAATAAGCTATACCCCTGGACGGTGATCCCATAGTACAGTTGTAAAATGAGACGCATAGTCGGGCCTGGTCTACAATGTTCGAGTACCCTCAGCACGAAGACAGTACAAAACCGTATTCGCGACTCTATGGGCTCGAGAACTAATATAATAGGCAGTTAGCTTCTGTCAGCATCTAAACCAAATCTTGTTACAAACTAAAAAAAAATTTATTTGTCAAAAGCATACAAGACATCAAGTTTCAAATCCTAGCACATCTCTTCAGTTCTGTAGCAAAATAGATCCTGAAGTTTATGGGTGACGACATAGCAAACTTCAGAGTTACTTTTGCATTTACATATTAATATAATTCTATAGGAAGTGTTTAAGTATAGGTTAAACTAAGTTATGAAGACTGAAAAGCAAAAAATATAGGTAAGTGTTAAATAAAATTAGTTCTTGACATACTGCTAAGGCTTGGAAGTAGATACATTACTTACTATAGAAATGACAATAAAATAACACAAACTAACATAATACAAAAACATAAGGATACTAAATGTTCACTTTGAAGGTGTACCTATTTGGCCTTCATTATAAAAATAATGTAGGAGTGCATAAACATGAAAATATTATGCTGTAAAAAGAATACATAATTTGGATGAAAGAAGTAATTAATTACTGAAGAAAAAGAACAGTATAGCTCAGTGAAGTCAGCTTGACATCAATAATTCATGTGATAATGAATGGTATCATCAAGTATTGTGATAGTAGAAATCTATCATTCACAAAGTGCTTGGGTCAGCCAAATTGACATACTGAACATATGTTATAGATTTAGCACGATATTCAATTGAATCATTGCACGGTAATTGAGGCCTTGTCACTCCCACAGTGATAAGGTAATAAAGAAATCGAGTGAAAACACCACGTGTCCGTGTGCCAAATAATTCGGCATGACAATAAAATCGTGTTACACTTTTTATCGAAAAGAGAACAGCCACAAAAGTACCAAAAAGTAATAAAATACCTGATGTACGTACGACACCACTTACAGTGCAGACAGGAGCGGGAGTAATGATTAGTAGTTGCTGTACATGCTATATATTTCAGGGATTGCACTGCCAATATTGCCATAACTAACCCCACCTATCGACAGGACAGCACATACATCCTCCTTTGTATCGCTTTGCTAAATACGAATAGATGAAAGTATCAATACTGTAGAAATTACTTGTAACAATCAAGAAACACGTATGATATCAAGCCTGAGACCGACGTGGTGGTGACCTCTCTCTGTGGTACACGAACATGTGGCTACAGAGGGACATCTTGTCCGTGTCTTCAGATTACGAAAATAATAAACCACAAACCAATTTACGTAGCTACACTCCTGGTAAAACCACTCCAAAATTGCAAATAATTTACACAAACTTGATCCTCAGTCAGAATCGGAAGAGATAACGAAAGAAAAATAGCAATTTGACAAACGTGCCGGTGCCGCGGAACTATTTCATTTCCAATATTTATTACACATAATCCACATGGCCGTGCAGCAGTATTTTCACAAAAACTTATTCACCATATAAAATACTTACGAAAACGATATTCACAACAATTTTTAATAGAATCACGATAAAACTAAGATATTTATCGACACTCACATGTGACCGACGGGTTCTTCAACCGAAAGGTCAATTTGCGCCTGCGTAGCACCTATAACACTCACTTCCTGTAGCGGGGTTCGCAAAATGGTTGAAATGCCGCCGATTGTTGGCGGTAAATACAAAATAATTCCTTATATTCTAAAATCAAAGCCTTTTCTTTCCTAAGCACTAATCAAAAATACAAATATTTTTTTAAATGCATTTTTGTTTATCATCAAACTATAAATAACTAAATTACAATATAAAAGTACTAAAATTATCCCGAAGTCTAGAACTGCTTTACCGACATATAGTAATTTTAGCAAGAAATCCGCTAGATGGCTCTGTAGTTCAGACGCTCCCACAGACAAAAAAACAACGCGAAAAATTATTGAATCATGGTCGGTCTTCTTGTTGTCGATAATTTAATTTCGTTCAGAAATTTAAAAATAATGCTTTAATATTAAATGTGTTAGGATTAATTTATTTACTACGAAAAATACCTTAATTACTAAGATACAAAAATCCTGTACAAAAGAATATTATTTTGTTTGATAAACTTTGGATTTTTTTTACAGTTGCCGCTAGATGGCGTTAGGTGTAAAAAATTGTAAAATAGTATTTCTTTTATTGCGATCTTCATTGAGCAAGTAAATGAATGGATATTTTGAAAATATTTAATTATCTCGTGCTTGATACACGGTTTATAAAGCAGCATTTTTTTATACTATTGTCTGGAGTCAACTTTCTTGAAAAGTATACAATGCTACTTACCTACCTACAGTGGGTACCTACTATAAAATTAAAATCCTTTTCTCGGGCAACTTTGCGATTTTTATGATTTTTTTCCCGCGGCTTTACCCGCGTCGAATTTTCTCTGTCGCAAAAAAAACTTTAACGCGCGTGTTTTTGTTTTAAAAACCCAGAATAAAACCTATCCAATGTCCTTTCCGGGGACTCAAACCACACTCAAACTAAGTAAGTATCTCTGTTACATCAAAATCGGTTCAGTGGTCGTGGTTCCATAGAAACAAATGACTCTATTTTTCTAGATGAATCATCAGGCTTGATTCAAACTGACTGTTGTTCCAGATGAGCGAAATTTTCACTGGACTCGCAACAAAATTACATAAAGAAAATAGGATGAGTTTGAACGACGGATCAATTTCCCTCCTGAGCAACCTCAGACAGACCTCAGTTTTTACAACCATTACTTAGTTTTTTGTGTTTTGATTGTTTCTTTTGATTATTTCTAGGGAATACAGCTCTGTGGGCTGTGTGAGTTTACATCAAACGTATGAAAATTTTAGTTTTTGAACGTTTCCCGCTAGGGGCGCTGTACAATCTTTTAATGCGCTCACTGGTGAGCGCGTTAGCGTTAGCGTTTGATGTAAACTCACACTACTAGGCCCTCTGATACCAGCGCTCCCAGTTTTCATCAGCTTGGAAAAATCAGTTCATTCGTTTAAGACAAAGGTCTCCCCCATGGTTTTCCACATTGAATGGTCCTGTGCTTCCCGCATCCAGGTTCTTCCCGCGACCTTTACCAGATCGACGGTCCACCTTATATGAGGCCTACCTACGCTACGTCTTCCAGCCCGTGGTCGCCACTCGAGAACTTTTCTGCCCCAACTGGAAAAATCTGTATTTATGTAAGTAACTATAATAAAAGTCTACTTCGTAGTATTGCATACCTACAAGTAAGTAAGTAGGAGTGCTTTTCAGGTCCAAGTCACGAAAATTGGTAGGTACCAGTAGATTGATATCTAGATCTACATTAATTTCATCACCGACATTATGTCAGCGATGCAGTTTTAAGTAGTGATGTACCTACAAGGCTCGAGGCTTACGAGTTCTTTTGCCGAGAGCTCAGAGTCGTTTACAGGGCTCGCCTCGTTTGTATGAAGCTCGACGACTCGGAAGTCTTTTTTAGAGTTCCAGCCTTTTCGGGGCTCGCCTCGTTTGTATGAAGCTTGGAGTCTTTGGCAGAGCTCGAGCCTTTTCGAAAGCTAGAGCCTTTTTGAAAGCCCATTTAACTTTTGTGCTAGGATCGTTCTATTGAATAAAACTGCAGGAATTCTGATACCTACAATAAAATACATACATATTTGAAAACCGTCTTTCATAAAAGGACACAAATCAAACAACTACATACATACAAATATAAACTTGAACTTTTATTGAAGGCTTGCGTTTATTTTAAGACTCGAACTCTTTTCATGACTCGAGCTTTTTCGAAGGTTCGAGCTCTTTTGAAGGTTAGAGCTCTTTTGAAGGTTCGATCTCTTTTGAAGTTTAGAGCTCTTTTGAAGGCTCGAGCTCTTTTAAAGCCCCGAGGCATGGCTCAGAGAGCTCGCAGCTCGGCTAAGCCCGGGGCACCGAGCCTACCGAGCTCACTGAGCCTTGCCATTCCACCTCGAGGCTTCAAAAATAGGACTCGAAGCCTCGAGTCTTGTACATCACTAGTTTTAAGATATTAAATATTTTCAAATTGCTAAAGTGATTAGGTCACATGGTAACATGCTTTATTTGAAGTATTTTGGCAAAGTGATAAATTATTCAAGCACTGAATAAAACAAAGGGATAGGTGTAGTTTTATTAGTGTCGTAAGTATTAGACTTCCCGCCTAGGTAAGTACGGGCTTTTCTATCGGCCGATAGTTAGATTGGGCTGTTAACAGATGAAGTAAGTATACTAACCAAAATATAGGTCGATAAAAGTCTGTAGGCTGCGGGGAGGACTCTATCTGATATCAATTTAAAATAATCTGAAGAAAATATCAACCGATTGCCAGCTTTCATATCTTCCAGCAATCACCAGCTAATTAATGCAACAAAGAGAAAAACAATAAAATATCAAAGTTATCAGAGCAAATCCATTCCCGTCCGTAATGACCCATGGTGAAGACGACCCAACAATGCCGACCGCAAGGGGTTAAGAGCTTTCTTCAATAAATCACTCGCCCGAGGGGTCCAAAGTACCCAAAGCATTAGAGGGTTGATTTTTTTCCTACAAAAGACAGAATACAATTACCGGACCATTGATGTAGTTATTATAGAGCTATTATTGGTTTTGCCAGTCACTGCCTTTGACTGCCTCAGTGTTGGTTATGGTAATATGGGATTCGCTTTGTGATGAGAATTTTCTCAAATGTATCCAGTAAACAAAATATGTATGAACTTTTATTAAGTATAAATACCTACAATTATTATTAATAGTTGTTTAGTAAGTTTATTAAAGGCGTTATTGCTTAACTTTTGTTTAAAATAAATCTAAATATATAAAAGGAGAAACTGACTGACTGACTGACAGATCAACGCACAGCCTAAACGGCTAAACGTAGGCACTTGAAATTTGGAAGGGACGTAGCTTAGGTACCGTAGAGGTGCACTAAGAAAGGAATTCCCGAAATTCCCACGGGAACGGGAATTAGCGGGAAAAACGGGATTCACGCGTACGAAGTCGCGGGCGGCCGCTAGTCATATACAAAATGAAAGTGATCAGTGTAAGATAACCTAGGAAATTAACCTAACGGAGTTCTAGGTAAAATAACCAATGCTTATGACTGTAGGTTTTCGACATTTGTAATTAGCGGCGAAATTTTTAATTTTTAGTGACAGTACAATAAATAAATGAATTCGGTAGGTTAGTCTATTAAAGTTAGGTAGAGAAAACAAAAAAACATCTAAGCTTTACATTAGGTATACCTACATAATATATGTAGTACAGTATTATATTATCTGTGGTAGTACCTATCTAGGCATTTGGTTTCTTTTGTGTTTTAATTTTCAAACAAAATGTAAAGTTCTGAGAATATTCATTAACACTTATGTGCATCGATCTCCTTATTGTCTTTAATAAAAATGTAGTAGTTAATTGATTATTATTCAGCAATTTCTCTACTATTTCTGGAAAATATTACTTTTAGGTAGTATAATATTAAATAATGTATGTTTCTTTTAAACAGGTTTTTTTCTGGTGAATGTTGGTGTTCTAAGCTTAAAGTTTTTACCGTACCTGTAATATGAGACACATAATATGGTGCCAGTTAAATAAAAACAAAGCAAGTCAATACAAATTAAACATTCTCAATGATAACTTCATTCATTGAACATATTATTAGTTATCTGTTGCTTTAATAAATAACCAGAGCTAGTAATGTCAAGTTAAACAAATTCCCGAATCATTCGTCCACTTCCATCCACCAAAATCAAAGTTGCAAATGCAATATGTCAGAAAAATATTGTGCTCGAATACATAACTCATAAATATTTATCGGCCGACTCTATCCATATCGCATCACGCGTCAATAAAGTACTTATAGTGTCACAAACACTGTATCAAATAGTTTTCGATGGCAGACAGGACGCGAGCGCATTGAATATGTATGCGGCAATAAAAGTCAAGTATCGCAATAAAACGTCGCAAAATAAATTCAGCGAGTAAATGAAAGCGCGGACAATGGAGCGGGTCTTTCCACGGCCCATTACCCGCCCTCGACGATTACGCCGAAACGGCAATTCAAATGAAATCATTTACCATATTATTTTCATTTGCAAACGCCTTCCCCGAGCCCCGCGCCCGCAAACTCCATTTCGCCGCCTAAACTCGTACGGCTCAGCCAATTTTTTAAATGTACCCGCTCAAAATAAATTATGTAGCGAGGGAAGACGGCTCGCGGACAAACAAGAAGTAAAACGGATGAGCGCTAGTCGACAAGCGGGCGTTAGAGCGGGATGCAGGAGTCGCTCCTCCTCCTGCCGCCCCGCGCCGCCGTTCCACTTCAAGACGGCCCCGAGAGCTAAGCCCCCGTTTTATTGTCACTTACACCTCCCCAAGATTTGTTTACCTCTAATATTGTATCGCCGGCAATCTTTGCCGCACTTCCCTTAAGAACCAAAATCATTTTCCCCGACCGCTCGCCTATCGTGGCGGCGCAGTATACAAGACAAGTAAATTTTGAATCAGCGCTATGATTAAAGAATCAGACGCTGAAACGATTGCTTATAAAGTATTAAGATGCTTATTTTGGATTGTCCGAGAATATTTGATATTG